TCATTTCCACTCGGGCTAACACAGCATTTGTCCATCCCTACCTTGTATTCATGGCTTTGGGCATCTTTGTTGTCCTCACTTGAATGTGTGCGCTTAGAAGGAAACAGTATTTTTTTACTTCATCATTGTTATCACCAGAGGCTCATAATACACTGTGTTGCGAAGTGTTGATACTAAGATTTCTTAAAAATTGAACTGAAATAACAGAAGGTGGTCAGGTGGTGGTGTTCCCATTTTATTTGGGAGATAGAGAGAGTGACAGATGCAGGTTAAATAACGTGTCCGAAGTCTTAATCAGTGGTTGGAACCAAGATTAGTTTTCAGAGTAACTGGTTTTTAATCCATCATCATTTTTTTTTGCCACACTATCATGCAAGAAATTAATGACGTGTATCATAGGCTGAGACACAGTGGTGCATTGGGTTTCTTAAAAGGATGTAGAAGGGTAAGTTAGGGTTTCTCGGGAGATGATAGATCATTAGAAGAGAAAATTTGAATTATCTCTATACTGTTAAGTAATGGTACAAAATAATATTTCCCTAGTAAATAATACAGCCTTTGAATGCTTTGGAAATTAAGAGAGGAGACATCAGCGTGGTCCACAGTGGTCTGTTGAAACTTTAGAAAGAAGGCTGAACTTAAGCTGAACTTTAAAGGTTGGGTTTAGAGAGAAGTGGGAAGGTCATTTCAGATGGAAAAACATAGCACTGGAAAAAATATAGAAGAGGAATAACCTAGACTCTTGCTACACAAACTGTGGCCCAGACCGTCAGCATTGACTGCACCAGAGCTTGTTAGAAATGCAGGTTCTCAGGCCCTGTCCCAGCCTACGGAACCAGACCCTGCACGTCAAAGCTTGGGAGGCCCTGATGCGTGCTGTTTGTATGGTGCTGTACCGTTTACTGTTGGCTAAAGAAACATCCCCTTGGCCCCCAGAATAGATCAGTTAGATAAGAATGAATGAGATAAAGACACACTACTAGTGCGTGGTCCCACTAGAGGAAAATGGAAGTTTAGAGAAGTTTTGATTGGCTGGAGCTGAGGTTCAGGCTCAGGAATACAGATTCCATATGGTTCTCACAGCACACCATGAAAAGTCATGTTTGGGGAACTGAATAGGCTAGTGCAGACAGCCTGAATGCAGATTGGGTAGCAATTGGGCCATGTGGTGGGGACCTGGGTGCTAGGACATTTGTCATTTGTCCGTGAACATGTTGTGGCCGAAAGAGGTTCATGAGGAGTGTCTCAGGGAGACTGATCTGGTGGCATCGTGTGGATAAATCAGAGTTAGGGAAGGAAGAGGACTCAGAGACACTGGTTATTCAGGGACTAATCACTGAATTTTTAAAACACGAGAAAGTAGGCAGTATCAGGAAGTCGCCCCACAGATGTGTGTTGAATGCCCACTTCGGGCTGGGCATCTGGTGCTGCCTTCATGATGTGGTCACGCTCATGTAATGCTTTTGGTCGCGTCAGTCAGATAAGCTGAGTACTAAGTGCATAAGGTACTAGCAGTGATGACAATAATGAGGTCATCTTTGATTTTTTCCCCCCATTTTTTTCTCTGAAAAAAGCTCTGGCCCCAGAGTTAGGTGGCTGCCAGCCTCACCCGGGTTTTGCCATTAGTGCTTTACGTGCCCTTGAACGACCCACTTAATCGCTCTGTGGCTGAGCTTTCCCACTTTACAGCGCGAACATCACATCTCCCGTGACTTCACGGCGCAAGATATTGTGATGAGGTAATTTATGGGAGGCGTTGTCGGTTTCCTGAGTGTCATAAAAGCTTATAATGCTGTTAGGATGAAATTACATGTAAAATGTTCATCTTCTGAAACTTTTAAAATTTCAGTCCCATAGTGCATGTTAGTCACTTTTCTAATTATAATGACGCTGAAAGGGAAAAAACAACCCCGCCATCTGTGGCACTTGTTTGCCTTCCCTGGAGGCAGCGCTGGAGGAGATGACGGTGTATCTGAGATGTTGTTCGTCTCACTCCGAAGGAGAACGGGTGGCGGTTTCTCGACGTGGCTTTCAGGTGCTGATGGGCACGGTTCTCTGCACAGGACCACTGGGGAATGTGTGCCCGGAGTAGTAGTCGGGGGCAGAGGGAGAGAGCGTGTGTGCTCCGGGGGAAGAAGCAGGATGAGAGCTCTGTCACGCTGTCACAGCCAAGAAGGCAAGCGAGGAAAAGCACCCCCTATTCCGTGTGTGGGTGACGCCTCCCCGGGACTAGCTGAGGGCTAAACCATCTTTGACTTCATAGGACTGTGGGGCCCACGTGTGTGGCTCTGGCGTAAAGGACCTAACAGCAATCTATGCAGCGTTTAAGCATCGCCCCTTTTACCTAATCCTCCTGGTGCCTTTTCAGAGTTAGCATTATCGTGCGGCTTCACAGCTGCCTGCCTGCTCTGTCTCTTACCTTTAGCAAAAGCAGGCATGGCCATTTGTGTCAAAGCGAAAAAGGCAGACACCACATAGAAAAGCGTGTGTTTCTGATCCCTCTGGTGACACAAAGCCGTGGCCCTACATATTCCGTTGGGGTCCCTGGGTGTGTGTGTGTGTGTGTGTGTGTATGGGTGGGAGGATGGCAGAGAAAATGAGACAGGTGGAAAGTGCATATTCAGCTACAGACTGCTAGAAACAATACTGACTGGTACAGATAATACTGATCCGCTAAGTTTCACTGCTCCCTGCGTTACAAACAAGGGTGTGTAGCAGCACTCTACCTCTTTGTTTTTTTAACTCCTTTCCACGCTTCATAATTTCTTCCAAGAATGGCAGGCTCCACAATGAAATACACCTCAGATTAGAGGACCCTTTGGAGCATTTTACCTGGAACATTTGCTTATCCTAGAATAACCTAGATAAAAATAAATTGTGTTAGTGTATTTTCAACAGGCACTTAGAATGGTGCCTGGCATACAGTTAGCATTAGAGAAGCATTTGCTGTTTTTTCCTAGTATTCCCTCGTGGACATTCATTCATTTATTGATTTGAGTGCGTGATACCATCCATCTAGGAGGTATTTGCTTTGGGAGCCTACATGTGAATCAGACAGAGATCCTGCCCTTAGGGAGAGTGTATTCCAATAGGAAAAAATTAGACTCACAAATACATAAATACAGTGCAGTGAAGTAAATGATACGGGCTATGAAAAAGATCTAGATGGAGCTTTGCGGGGTGAGCAGAAGCAGGAGGGGGCTTTTGAGGGGTTGGCAGGAAGGCAGGATGGAGGGAGGGTATCTGCGTTGCATCTTGGAGGACAGGAAAGGTCCAGACAGTCACAGCAGGAGAGGGTGCTTCCCGGGTGAAGTGAAGGGTAGAGACAAAAGCAGGAAAAAGCATACTTAGGGAGAAAACGTGACCAGTTTGTTTTACCGGATTGAAGGCAGTACATTTACCAGAACATGTTTTGTGTCGTCTGAGTTCCCTTTGCCCCATTTTTTTTTCATTTCTTTACCCATGAATTAAATTTCAGCAGATTGTAATCAGGAAGGGCAGTTACTAAAACGGGTGCGAGTGGCTTTGTAATTATAGCTGCTGCTAAATGTGTGCTCTGTCTGTTCTCGTGATTATTAAGGTTTTCATTTTTATAAGCTGATCGCCTCCTGTTCTAAAACTTCCTTAATAGTATGCAAATAGGGGCCGGGAAGCGATATAAATCTAGAAGCATGTTTTCCTTTGCGTTTTACAATAAATCCCCCCCGCAGACTGACCTGGGGCGGCTTTGTGCATCTCCAGAGGCCCACAGTCATTCGGGCACAATAGATGGGGGCTGCCTTTCGCATCCTCCCAGCCTTGCTGGGGAGGGGAGAAAAAAATCAGATCCTGGGCTTTACATTAGCTTTCTGTTACGACACACACAATGTCATGGCTTCTTTTCTCTTTCCTTGACAGTAATTCCATCATCTACTTGTGATAAATTACTCTGCCTTTGGCGATTTAGCTTATCCACTTAACAGCTGAATATGCCTCTGCAGAATGGTGTGGAAGGAGCGGGGAGTTCCCAGCAGTGGAGATGATGCTGTTGGCAAGTCTCTCCGCCCTGCTGTATCTCGGGTCAGCTCATCTATCCAGTGGGAGTGTTACTATATGCAGCAGAGAAATCACATGCTTTGTGTTTTTCAAACACTTACTCTATTTAAAGGTATTAAAAGCCTAAGTTCTAAGTGAATAGCAGTAATTTGGGGGGGGGGCCTTCCTTTATAACTTTTTTTTTTAATTGAAGTGTAATCCGTTTACAGTGTTGTATCAGTTTCTGGTGTACAGCATAATGTTTCAGCCATCCATATAATAATAATTTCTTAAAGTAAGACTGCCTCACTATGGAACAGACTCTTTTTTTTTATGTTTTCCTAATAAATTTTAAGCTTGCAGTACTCGTCGAACAATGAGAGCTAAATATAAATGGACCCCTAGCAGAAAAAGGCTGCCCAGGGCTCAACAGCTTATAAACCCAGTTGTGAGTAGCTGTCAAACCCAAAACAGTCAGTGACAAACGTGAACACCTGCTCCTGGGTTCCTGAATTTTTTATATCTTGTAAGTTGTGTGCTATACTTTAGTACCTACTCGGGTACATATTGTGCTTCCTTGCTTTAATAGAGCGCCTGTCCTCGCCTCCTCTGTCCCTCTCCTCCTCCCCCCTCCCTGTATATATATATACACACACATACAGATGTCTGTGTCTGAAGCATGTTTTTGGAAACATTTAAAACTATGCCACAGAATGTTTTCTTGTTGAGATAATGAATCCAAGACCAAGATACTCCTGGGCTCTGGTGACACCTTCTCTGAACTGAGTGTAGTGTTGAGGAGGAAATAGCTGGAATGTTAGTCTTCTAATCAGAGTCAGTAATATCACCCCCCAACGCCCGCCACCCCCACCCCCTGCCATGTGCGCACCAAGGGCTGGTTGTTGGGTCTTTTATAAGGGAGGGAGGGTCACAAGGTGCCTGATTGGCTGTAGGTGAGGTGAGAAGTTTAGGGTTCCTAAAGGGCGATGGGGTTTGTGACTCTGATAAGGTGGGCTGCACAAGCCAGCCCGAGCTGTTGTGAGATTAGGCATCACCTAGAGCTGTTAGTGCATTAGGGCAAACACGCCCAGTAAAGAATGTACTTTGTCTGCTGAGGGATCACAGGCAGGCATCCGAGAGCCCAGGGATGGGGGTCCTTGGACTATGAGGGATGTCAGTTGGCCCCACACCCTAGCCAGTGTGGAACCACCTCTGTGCCCTTCCCTTAGCATCAGATGTATCTCAACATAGAAGAAAATCCTTGGAGGAAGCATAGGGTGCTTTACAGAGGGGCTCGTGGTGGCTCTGTTGGTAGTAAATCAGGAAGCTTCCTTTGAACCGTTTGCTCCTCTGTTTCTGAAGCGTCTCGTTTCTGCCGCTCCTACAAACACACAAGCAGGAGCTGATCCCTCGTGGTTTGTGAGTGTACCACTTGCGTTGTCAGCATCAGTGGTCTTGTGTGTTTCCTGTTTCAGCTGTACGTGGCCACCGAGGCCATCCTCATCGCGCTGGTCGGGGCCACGCCGTCGTACCACTGGGACCTGGCGGAGCTGCTGCCAAATCAGAGCCACGGCAACCAGTCAGCCGGGGAAGACCAGGCCCTGGGCGCCTGGCTCCTGACCGCCAACGGCAGCGAGATCCACAAGCACGTGCACTTCAGCAGCAGCTTCACGTCCATCGCCTCTGAGGTACCAGCAGGAGGGTGGGTGGGGAGGGGACAGGCCCTCCCTCGTTGAGTGTCTGCTGCTGGGTCTTGTTGACTCAACTTCAGCACATCCAGTATCCCTTCATTCAAATATTGTTTTAGTTTTTTTTTTTCCCCATGAATGTGTGTTGAATTTTGTCAAATATGTCACTTTGCAATTTTCCACATGAAATGCAGAGATCATGTGATTCTACCTTCTAGTACGGTGGATAACATCTTTGATTTTCAAATACCGAACCAACCTTACATCTCTGGATGGCATATACTTTCTGTATGTTGCACAATTTTACTTGCTAATATTTTGTTAAGGATTTTTGCTTCTATATTCATGAGCTATGTTGGTCTCTAGTTTGATTTTTTTTGTACTATCTTTGTCTGGTGTTGGTATCAGCCTAACACCACATTCATAAAATGAATTGTGAAATATCTGTCCTTTTCTGTTTTCTGGAAGTGACTGTGTAGAATTGATGTTAGTCCTTTCAACATGTGGGAGAATTCTCCAGTGAAATCATCTGGGTCTTTAGGTTTCTTTTGTGGGAGTTTTAAAATTATGAGGTCAGTTTCTTCAAAAGTTATAGGACTATTTAAGTGATCTGTTTTGTATTGTGAGTTGGGGCAGTTTGTGATTTTCAAAGAATTGGTTCATTTCATTTAAGTTTTCCAATTTATATGTGTAGAGTTGTTCATTGTATTAACTTAATATCCTTTTGATATCGGCAGAGTCTGAAATACCTCCTCTTTTATTACCTAATATTGGTGATTTATGTCCTTTCTAATTTAATTACTTGTCAGTCATGATAGCGTTTTGCCAATTTTATTGATCTTTTTAAAGAACCAACATTTTGTTCCATTGATTTTTTTTCTCTGTTTTTCTTTTTTCCATTTTATTACTTTTTGCTCATATTTCCTTCCTTCTGCTTGCTTTGGATTTCTTTTTCTCTTTTTCTTTTTTAGGTTCCAGAAGTGGTAGTCTGAGAGTATCAGTGGGAGTCTTCCCCCTTGCTAATATAAGCATTTAGTGGCAGAAATGAAATCTCCCTCTCAGGACCGTGTTAGCTATGTCCCACAAATTTTGATCCATTATATTTTCTTTTGCATTTAGCTCAATATATTTTTTTTCTCCTTGAGACTTCCTTTTGATCCAATGATTATTTAGAGGTATGCTTTTTAGTTTACTAGTGTTTGGAGATTTTCCTGTTAGCTTTCTGTTTTCTATTTCTAGTTTGATTCCATTGTGGTCAGAGGACACTCTATGATTTCAGTTCTTTTAAATTTCTTGCTGTTTCTTTTATGGTGTAGGATGTAGTCTCCCTTGGGTATATGTTCCATTTGTGCTTGAACCAAATGTATATTCTGCTGCTGTTGCGTGTTCTGTAAATATTGTTTAGATCCAGTTGATTGAGTTCTTCTGTATCCTTGCTGATTTTCTATCTAGTTCTGTAGACTGTTGAGAGAGGAGTGTTTATGTCTTCAATTACAGTTACAGAAATGTTGATTTCTCCTTTCACTACTTTCACTTTTTGCTTTCAATATTTTGTAATTCTGTTGTTTGGTATGTGTAAATTTATGATTGCTATGTCTGCTTGGTGGACTGACCTTTTTATCATTTTATAATACCCTTCCCTGTCACTGGTCATTTTCTTGTTCTGAAATGTGGTGTATTTAATATTCATATAGCCACACCTCCTTTCTTTGATTAGTGTAAGCATGATATGTATTTTTTCCTCCTTTTACTTTCAGTTTGCCTATATCATATGAGAAATCAGTTTTTTATAGACAGAATATAATTGGATCAAGTTTTTTAATCCATACTGTCAATCTCTGTATTTATATATTTAGATAATTTACATTTAACATAATTTTTTATATGTTAGGGCTTACCTCTTTCACTTTATTATTTTTATGTTGTTCTCTGTTGTTTTTTCTTTTTCTCTTTTATTTTTCCTGCCATCCTGTAGGTCCTTGGAACATTTTTAGAATTCCATTTTGACTTACCTATAGCGTTTTGGGGTATGTCTATCTCTCTGTGTATAGCTATTTTAGTGATTACATTACATTATATATGCATAACTTACCACAGTCTACTGACGTCCTGTCACCAGTTTAAGTGACAGAAACTCTACCTTACCTTATATCCCTTTGCCCTCCCCTGTTTATAATTGTGTTAAGTGTTTTTCTACATACTTTTTGACCCACATTACACAGTGTTATAATTTTTGCTTTAACCATCAGATATAATTTAGAAAACTCAAAAAGAGAAAGTCTGTTTTATTTACCCACATTTTCCTTCCATTGTTCTTTCTTTCTTCCTGATGTTCCAAAATTCCTTCTTTTATGTTTTCTTTCTTTTTAGAGAACTTCTATTAGTCATTATTTTAGGGTAATTCTGATGACAATAAATTCTTTCAGTTTTAATTTATCTGAGAATATGTTGATTTCCCCTTCAACCTTTGTTTTCACTGGTTATAAAATTCTTGGTTGACAGTTCTTTTCCTTCAGCATTTAAAAACTCCTTTTGCAGGAAGAGGGTACAGCTCAGTGGTAGAGGGCGTGCCTTACATGCACAAGATCCTAGGTTCAATCCCCAGTACTACCATTAAAAAATGAGTAAATATATTCACCTGATTACCTCCCCCCATTCAAAAAAAACTATTAAAAAAAAACCCAGAAAGGGTTTGGAAAGGCAGCTCATCAAATTACATTCAAAATTGAATTAAAATAAAAAAATTAAAACTTCTAAGCCATTTCCTTCTGGTCTTTATGGTTTGTAATGAAAAATGTGGTGTTATTTGATTTTTCTTTTTTTTCTTACAGGGAAGGTGTCATTTCTCTTTTGCTACTTTTAAGGTTTTTTGGTTTTCTTGTCTTTAGTTTTTAGTTGTTAGACTGTGGTGTTTCTTGGTTTGGATTTCTTCAAGTTTATCTTGTTTGGAGTTTACTGAGCTTCTAGGATCCTCAGGTTTCTATCTCTTGACACACTGGGAGATTTTCAGCTATTATTTATCCAAGTACTTTTTTTAGCCCTTCTCTCTTTCTCCTTTCCTTCTAGAACTCCAGTGACAGAAATATTAATTCTTTTGTTATAGCCCCACAGACACCTGAGGCTTTGTTCTTTTTTTTCAGCCTGTTTCTTTTTTTGTGGGGGGGGGTGTTTTTCATTTATTTCTGTTTGGAGGAGGTGCTGGGGGTTGAACCCAGGACCTCGTGCATGCCAAGCATGCACTCTACCACTTGAGCTGTGCCCTCCCCCCTTTTTTTCAGTTTGTTTTATCTTTGTTTCCGGATTGCGTATTTCTGACTGTTCTGTTTTCAAGTTTCCTGATTCTTTCCTCTCTCTCCTCTATCCTGCTGTCGAATCCCTTCACTGTATTTGTCAGTTCTAAAATTTTTATTTTGTTCTTTTTCTATATATTCTCTTTCTTTGCTGAGACTTTGTGTCTTCACTGAGTCTTTCTATTTTGTCATCTATTTCAAACATGTTTACAAGTGCTCATGATGACAGCTGTAAGATCTTTGTCAGATATTTCTATGAACTCTATCATCTCAGTGATTGTCTTTATTCATCCTGCTTGAGATCCTTCTGATTTGGGGTATGCCAAATTATTTTTATTTGAAACTTGAAGTTTGAGGGATTATGTTAGGAGATGCTGGGTTTTATTTAAGCCTTCTGTTTTAGCTGGCTTTCTGTGACACTGCTGTGGCATGGGAAGAAGGGAGGGGTGCCTCGTTACCACCATGGGCTGAAATCCAGCCTCTCTGCATGGTGTCTGCGGACACTCGTGGTGGGGGTGGTGGTACTGGGCTAGGAGGGAGGGGGGCTTTGGTAGGAATGAAAGTGCTGGCACCTTGCTGTCTTTTTCTGACATCACCGAGGTCGAGGAGGGTGGAGGTGACTCACTACAGCCTAGCCAGGGGGAAGCCTAGTTTCCACACTTAGCCTTTGCTAGTGTGGATGGGGTTGAAGCCACAGATTTGGGTGTGTGGAGGGGAGGGTGTGTGTGTGTTGGGATGATCATTGGCCAGAATAAAGCAGTTGTTGCCTCAAAGTTCTGTCCTGCTAGGAAGCCCCTCTCCTGGGCCTTTGTCTAGATAGAGCAGGCTTCCTTGGGGCTCTTGTCACTCGTCTTAGCATTTCTGAGTTGCTGGGTTTCTCCAGCATCCCGTCTGAGATATGTGAGGCAAAGGGAAACCCAGGGAACTGACCACTGTGTCATTCCTTGGGTCCCAGGGTCCTTAACTGGTCTTCTCCCCACCTTTAAAGTTGTCTTTGTTTGTTTTACATATAATGTCCAGGATTTTTAGTAGTATACAGTGGGAGAAACAGGGAAAAGTACATGCAGAAGGGTTCCTGGACCCACTTCCAACAAGCAGTTCCCGGATGCCGGCAGCATCGGTGAGAATTCAGCTCGACTGTGATGGTATCTACCTGGGGACAGATTTGAATTCCACAGGTAAAGGGCTCAGTCCCCCAAGACTGCCCTCCGCTTCAGATGACAGCCACAAACACTCATTGTTACCCGTGTTTCTGACTGGCTGGCTACAAATTGGAGGTTCCAGTGACCCCCTCCAATTCAGGATGCCGATCCAAGCTCAGGTTGGTACCTGTACTTCTGAACAGCTGATTATAAATCAGAAGTTCCCAGGACCTCCCCTGCAGGCTCAATTAATCTGCTAGAATGGCTCACAGAACTCAGGAAAAAATGTTTGTTTACTAGACTACTGGTTTATTATAAAAGGATGTTAAAGGATATGGAACAACAGCTGGATGAAGAGATACATCGGGCGAAGCCTGGGAAGCCGTGTGGAGCTTCCGAGCGCTCTCCTAGCACCACTCTCCCCAGGCCCCACTTGTCTGCCAATCCAGAAGCTCTGAACCCCATCCTTTTGGGTTTTCTGGAGACTTCATTGCATAGACACAGTTGATGAAGTCATTGGTCAGTGCTGATTGACTTAAATCTAGCCCCTCTCCCCTCTTCCTGGAGT